TACGGAGTTTCGGCGCCGTAAACGCCACAGTTTTTCGCCAGCTTCCGTGGTGCCTGGCCATTGCCGAGCGAATTCAACTTTTGATCACGTTTTTGCGGAATCTCGCGTCTCTCCGCCACGATCCACCGGATTCTCTTATTCGTCGAATACGCGAAATCTAACTAAGAATATTTATAATAATTTATAATAATTGTTGAATGATTTCGGTGAGAAAGAAGAAAGGAATATCCTTTTGTGCATCGAGCACGAAAAATCGCTGAGGATATTTATATATAATTTACATATAATTGTAATTGTATATATAACCATTTCGATGAAGAAAAAAAAAATTCATTGGATTTTTTTTGTCCTTTAAACATGCGAACTTGTTAAATATATACATTTATAATAATTAATTATTCGACGATTTCGATTCGATTCATCGGATTTTCTTATCCGTTAAATATAAGAATATTTATAATAATTTATAGTAATTTTTCGAAGATCTTGAAAAGAGAAGTACAAAAACTATAATGAATCCATCCTTTTGTTCGGCGATCTCGGTGAAAAGGGAAAAAATCGGTGACCGTTTATTAATTCGATTACGAGGTATAGAAAATATGAAATGGAACACAGTACGATGAAGCCGTCAGCGAAAGTAGGCGCGAATAGATTAAGAAACGACGAAATATGCCTGTACAGATTGTGGAACGTGGCTTGGACTAATTTCTCCATTTAATTTATGATGTCCCGGTGAAAGGACCTGAGAAACGCGCCGATCCTTACGAATCGATCTCTCGTCTATCTCGAGCCTGCTATCAAGCATTTACGCTGCTACTTCGAGGAAGTTAATTAGCAGTATATTACCGTGAAAAGATTGCCGGCTAGATCGGTGGCTTCGTTGTCACGAGGGAAAATTCTCGAGTTAAAATATACATCGAATCGATTGCGAGAAAATTGAAAATTCGAGGCCGTGTCGATAATCGTCTGTTCGTCTGTTCGTGGGTTAACACCGGTTTCGGATCGGATGGTAAACGGTTCGTTTAAAGTAATCGGTTGTGGAAGGCTCGCATTATTTATCGCAGCTCTTTTCGACCGGAGGAACGATGGGCGATTCAAGATCGCGTTAGTCTAACGCGTTGGCTATTTATCAGAAAATTCGTAGCTGGCGCAACAGGTGCAGTTTCACAAGGCATCCTCTCTTCTTAATGTCCGAAAAAGTAAACTCGTCCGTAATTCGATCTCGCCGCACTTTCGATCGTATGATGGGCCGAATCATGTTACATCGTGCCAGCCAATCGGTAAGGAAGTAACCGGCAACGATGCGTTTAACGCCTAAGCTAGGTTTCCTAGGCGACGATCGTTCACTCTCGTATATCGTCGACAATGTTTCAGTCTTGTTTAATATTCGTCAAATAACCACGACGAGGTAGTGTCGCGGATATGAAACGAATTTTGGAAGAAGAGAAGCTCGATAGCGGCGCGCTAATTATAAAGCGTCGCTCGAATAACTTCGGAGGACACGATCGAGTTGGCCACCGTTCCTTGCGTTTCTCCACGACTCCGTGATCCACGGTTCCATTCATAAAGCAGGAAGAGTGCTTTAAGTTGGCGCACGCGCAATTCCTAACGGCCGTCGTCCGTCTTCGCTACCAGATATTTTCGGCGGTCCGGAATTATAAAGCTAGCACGGTACTATATGGTTTCATCCGAGACGCCACGAGACTTCGTCGCGAGATTCGTCGGGATAACGAAATGAAAATGATCGATTCGACGACGGAATACGAACGACTCGCCTGTATCCAAAGTCACAAATTTCTTTCGGTTTATATTTGAAATATAATTTTGCTTATTCGACGTTTTGTTTTCGTTCTCGTTTCTCCTTCTCGTTTTATCGATTTTACCATCGCTGTGAGCGAACAAAAAACTAAGATATCGCTAACATCGAAACTTGAGTACTCGAGAGCCAATTGTTTTCTTTCTTTTTCTTTTAAAGAAGATAACCTTGGATAGAGAAAAAGGAGAATACACTTTTTCTATACGCATACCTGCTGGAAGGTTCGCGAAACGTGGCGCAAAAAATTTACGACGGTTTCTGACGTTCTGGAAGGGACATCACGGGACATGCGGTGCACACTCCTACCAGATACCTGCCCCCCACTCGCAACGAGAAATTTCACTACCTATCGTGGTAAAAACCCTTGGTGACCCGTGGCGAACGACGCCCATTGCGCAAAACTTTCACCTCAAACAATGCCGGCGCATTTTTCGGCCTCGAGGCCTCACTCCTCCGCGGCCATAAATCCTTCACCCCTGTGGAAAAAGCGTGGTGTGCCCTTTGCTCGGAAGGTTTGGGTCGACGCGGAAACGAGGAGGAACCCGCATAACTTGTGCGACTAAACACGGGAAATCCAGCGACAGTTTATCGCCTGACAAACCTTCGAAACGCACGCGGAAAATAGGATGGGAATCGCCTTGTACGGATCGATGGAAAAGCTTACGGCTCGAAAATGCGTATTCGTTTTCGTGGAATCAATACGATACATATCGCCGATACATCGAGGACAAATATATATCCGTGCACGTACAATCGGTTTTCGACTCATAACGAATTAACCATGCGTGAAAGATTCGAGTTCGGGTGCTTTCGCGTCACGCGCGTATACACCAGCTTTCTAATCTGCTTTCATTATTTCCGGTGACCATGATTTACTCCTGATATCGTATCGACGAGCAAATATGCCAAAAAACGAAATATGCGCGTTATTTCGGGATAAATGAGATCGCGGAGGAAGGAACTTGGTCGTTTTCCATTTCTTATAATCTCCCGCCGCAACGATATTTCTCGAATCATATACGAAGTATTTCCGTCCATTCGTATGCAAACGGCGGACAAGCTGGACGACAGATTCGATCGAATTACAATTTTCATGGCTCGCCCTCGGTTCATCCACGACACGCGTGGTTATTTAACTCTTTCGGATGTTTCGATGCACCCAGAGGGCACGCTTCGAGGGCGCGGTCGTTGATCGACCATCCACGCGTATCTACGCATACGCCTATACGTTCGAAAGTAAACGTAGCTCACGCATAGCTCAGAGTAATTTACAATTTCTCAACAGAGCTTCGGTTGTAATTTATTCTCCCGTTGGAATATTCGGTCGGATCGAAGGAAGAAGTTCTTCGATCGCGTTTCCACGACGCGAGTTGACGACGACCAAGCTGTCGTCGATATTCATATTCGGTATGAATCATTTAACGCGATTAGACGTTTCATCGCGTTAAGCGCGAGCAGCGGCATCGCGCGGCCTCGGCTCTCGCGTCCCTCTCACCCTATTTTCGATGCTCGTAAAACCGGCGTCGCTGTATCCGACTGATCCGTCTCCCGATTTATACCGAGAGACGAGCGGCGACGAGTCGC